AAACAAGAATTGCATGTGTAGCCTTATCTATAGTAATGAGTTACTTTGTTTAACCAATTACCCATCCCAAAGTGAGGGTTTACCTCTACTGTAATCTGTGAGAGTTTAGCCCCCAAGATTGACTACAGTAGAGTGGTTATCAATAGAAGGGGGAACCCCATGGTGCCCAGCAGAGACTACATAGTGCTCTTTCTATAATGATTATAATTTTTAGCCATCAAAACAATACGTACTGCAATCTGGTAAAGTAGAGAGGCCAGTACAAAATGTACAATGTTTGCATTACTTACATCATCCCTTGTGGAAAAACCTGAAGTGTTAGTCCTCACAGTCACCATCATCATCACCACCAGTGGTTGCCATCCTAGAGTCTCCCACCCCAAGACACACAGACTGTGATACAGCCTTTATAATGTCTTATGCTGACGCTGAGTGGGGTTCATACATATTTATAAAGGTTTTAACCCCTTTTCCTTATTTGAACTTCCACACCCCACTAATACTCATTAACATTTATGTCATGTTGTCACCATAGGAACAGGCAATTAAGGAAGTCTCCAACATTTCACTCTACCTACCTCATCTTGTGGTGTCTACAGATCTCTTGTAGGTATAGTACAGCAGTTATTTTCAAACTCAGCAGTTATTTTCAAAACATCAGCATATCACAAACATAAACAGAAGCTCAGCAGGTTTACTACTGACTTACTTATGGTAATTTATCCTAACTCCTAAAGTCTAATTTGGCTAAACTAAATATTTTACAAGCCTGGGGACTATGGGTCTTGTGTTACAACATTAATTTCATCTCTATATCCTAAATATACCTGATACTTTTATCCTTGGCTACAGCTTCAACGCTTGTTCTTATATTTCTAGCCTAATTTCATGTATAGATTGTGTATGATGATAAGATTTTAGATTTATCTTAATAAAGTAAGATTTTGATGATAATTTTAACTTATATAGCCCCATTCATCTGAAAATTTCAAAGCATTTTACATTTACATGATAATTAAACATCACAGTGTTTCTGTGAGGTAGGTAATGCTCATTTTAACCTTGGATCAACAAAGATTTCAGTCAGATTTCCAAAGGAGCTCAGAACCCACAACTGAGGCCAGATTTTCAAAAGCCATCAGCTCCTGTTTAAACACCAAAATAAGCAGCCTGATTTGTATGAGTCCAGCACTATGGAACACTTCTGAAACTCAGGAAATTAGCTACATACCTAAATGGAAGCTGAGCCTGATGTGAAAATCTGATCTCAAATGCTGGGGTTGGGCTCTTTGGAAAATCTGACCCTAAGTGATTAGCCTAAGATCCCACAGTGGAACAGGAACACAAGAATGAAGAGATTCCCTAACTCCTGCACTCCCTTCTCTTCCTCACACCACAAGAGCACAGAATTTGTTAAAGAAAACTCATCATTGTCCATAATTGTTATAACCAAATCAGCAGCAAATGACAAATTAAATGAAAAGATCTTGACCTTATCAGCTTATTGTTCTTTTGAAGGAAAATGCATATGGTAATATGCAGTCCTATTGCTTTGTGGATAAAAACTTCAAATACAAGTTTTTATGGGAACATCTAGAACAGGAAGAAGGCTCGTTTGAAATTATAAATATCAGCACTCATCACTATATGCAAGTAGGTAATTAGGGTAATTATTCCCAATTAGCAGTTGCAAACTCTGCAGATGGGAATTTCAGGGGCTGATAACTATTGTAAAAGGCATTTTTGCAAGCTGTAAAACCACTTTAACGTTTTGGAATGCATACATTTAATACCCCCTACACGATCTGTAACAGATTTTTGTTAGTGTTTCAAAATAATAAAAAAGGAGAACTATGTTCATGCTGTGCTGTGGTTCAGGAAAATGTTGGCATCTGAGATGGGCTGAATTTAAAAAAAAAATGCAGGTGTTTAACCTACAGTATAATGACTGTACAAAGAGCCGAAGTGAATCTTTAACCTGCTCATACTGAAGCTGAGCTTTAGTATTGCCATGTTTTTCAAATCTTGTAGGAAGAAGTTCACAGGGGCTGATGCAGGGTCCTTTGAAGTCAATGGAAAGACTCCAATTATCTTCTCTGGGGCTTGGATCTTGTCCCATGTGAAGAAATGTGTACCCCACTAAAACATGTTTCCATTGAGCCACTATGCAACATCCCTCCTTCTACCCAGGATCCGGAAAATCCCACTCACAGTTACCATTTGCTATGGGGTTAGTGGCCTTTTCTCTCTTCTGGATCTTCCAGAAGGTTTTTTTCCTTTTTGAGGACTGGACTACCAATCACCTTCTTTCAGTCACAGGGGTCTTTTGTTAGCCAGTAAGGGCTCTTAATGTAAAAGGGGCAGAGTGGTTTTGGGTGTACCTGTGTTCTCTCTGTTATATTACATGCAAGAATAATTCGGTGGAGGGCTTTTCCTGATTCCAGTGTCCTTGTGAACTTAGCTGCAAAACCAACTTTACCTGTATCAGGTCACTTAGCCATACAAATCTAATCAGCCCAAACAGGATGTGATTAATGTGTCCATGGTGGAAAACTTGTCCTGGAAAAGCTGTTTACCAGCTTTCTAGCTAGAACTGCTGTTAGGATGAAATTGCAAACTTTAAACAGTCATAACTTTACAAACAAGGCTTGAGTTGAGCTTGAGTTGCAAATAAGAATCTCAAAATATAAACTTGTTTTTAACATGTTTAGCTTTCAGCCATTTTTGAGTTACAGAAGTACAGAATTTCAGATTGGAGCATATGGGGAAAGTAGGCTTTTTGTTACTTGAATAACTCAAAAACAACTGACCTGATTTTTCTCACACTTTTTTTTTTTAAAAAAATCATCTTAGAGTTGAGACAAAGCAGTGAAAATCTCAGAGCAAAATCAAGTTGTTACAATAAGTTATGGACATTTGGAAAAGTGTGTTTAGACCAGAGGCTGCAATTCATCCTTAATGTTGGAAATTGAGAAATGAAATAAAGCACATAGGAACCCACTTCTATGCCAGTAACCAGAATGCTTTTCAGTTACTTGAACCTTGTCCGTAGCCATGCCGGCATCAGAACACAAGCAACAAAACAAAAGGTATAAATAAGTTTGTTTGGTATCAAGTATTTCATCATAATGAATTTACTGATCTAATTCTTTAGCAATATATCGTTCAGTCTTTGGCAGTCAAGAGAATTGCCAGATGTGTTGTAATAAAGTTTAAGAAAAAGTATTGATTTTTCAAAATGTTAAAGATTTCCATCTGTTACCCTAACACTGCTCGCAGATATTCTTGAGTTCTCAGCAAACCTTGAAAATCCTTCCCCACAGAGAACTTCCATATGTGTTTAGTTTTAAAAGGAAAATGTGGGTGATTTATTGTATCTAGAGATCTCAAGCTTGGGGAGAAATAATCACCCTCTTCTCTTAGCTTCCCATCACCTCCTTCCAAAATCCAAATCTGGCTAACTTTAAGATTTGTTCCTGTGCTTCAGATGGCAACTTTTTTGTTTATTTGTTATTCTTCCTTCTTGTTGCATCTTTTCTTTCCTCTCTCCTGCCGGTGTTTTCCCTATGTTTTTTCTTCTTTTAAAATACTTCAGAGTATATTTTTCTCTAATACAATTTCTCTTTTCAAGCTGTTTTTCTTTTCTGATTTGCGCTTGCTCTCCCTATCAAGTGTTACCGTTAGTGTTTAGAGTGTGTGTGTGTCTCTCTCTGTCTTTGGTTCAGCGTCTCCCTCCCACTCACTCTCTGTCTCTCTCTCTCCCCCTCCCCTTGTTCCTCCTCTTTTTTCATTTCCCCCTTGACCCTCTTTGGATGGGGTCCACAGCACAAGACCTGCTCACCTACATTTGGGGTATGAGTGCATTTTGGAGAGTGAGGAGCTTAGAGAATAAGTTAGTGTCACTCTCCATGGATCTGATGCAAGGCCTGTTGAAGTCAATGGGAGCCTTTCTATTGAGCTGAATGGACTTTGGATCAGCCCCAAATATATTTAGTTTGACAGACTTGACTAGACCTTCTGACTTTTCAGAATCTCCACTATAGATTCTTACCTCGCAGTCCTCCAGCTTTATAGGGTATCTATATATATATATATATTTTAATGGTTCTATATAATATGTGAAGGCATTATGCTGATAAAGGGCTTGATCTTCCAAGGTGCTGAGATCTATGGCCCAGATCTAGCAAAGCACCGATGTATGCCCTTAATTTTAACCATGTGAGTTTCTGCATGCCTATATCATAGCTTGAAACAGCACTGCTTCCAATTCTGAGTTTATGTTGGGTAGAGACTTCATCTCATGCTGAATTACTTGGAAGATTTGTGATGCAGACAGTTATGAGCATGTAGCCATCAAACTCATTTTCACTTGTTTCCTAAGTCAGAATTTGAACCTAGATCTCCTGATGTATAAAGCTAGTGAGGAGTGATGGATTGTCTAGTAACTAAACATAATGAGCATTTCAAAAACTGCCTAAAATGTATGTATTAATAATTAATTGCCTGTTTTGCTGGTATAGAATGAGATTATACTACAGCCTTCTCTGAATTATTTATTTATCGTTCTTTACAAAAATTACTGTAGAAAACTCCTGCCATTACGCTTGTTTCATAAGAGTCTGAATCATGAACAACAGTAGTCATCTCTCTGAATTCCATCAGGTTGTGACAGAACTACATCTTAATGTTGTTTAAATGCAGTTTTTTTATATTTCATTAGCGATGGTATGTCTGAAAGGCTACAGAATCCCAATATGAGGATAATGGGTAAAGTATTCAGAAGTGCTTGACTCTCGATGAGTTTTAGGCTCCTATGCACATAAGCCACTTTCAAAAGTGTGACTTAGGCTCTTATGTCACTTAGGAACTTTTGAAAATTTTACCCAGTGTCATTGTGCCTGAAGAGTCAAACCTAAATTACTATGTCTTGAAGTGTGGAATATCTACGGCTGTCTCTTAAAATATGATGAGATTCCTGCATATTTTGTGTTTGGTACCAGGTGCCTCAAGATGAATGGGGAGGGTACCCTGTTGGCGGTAAAGACGAGGAGATCCCCTGCAGGAGAATGAGAAGTGGGAGTTATATTAAAGCCATGGGAGATGAGGAAAGCGGAGATTCTGACACTAGCCCTAAAACATCACCAAAGGTAGCAGTTCGACCAGAGTCATTATTAAAATCCATTGGACAGAGACCACTTGGAGATCACCCAAAGTAAGCTTCACCAAACTTTGTCACATATCTTACTAAAAGCCACAATGACTCAGGTCATTTTTTTATGATGTTTTGATGTGATTACAACAAACGGGTTTCATGAAATATATATATTTAATATATAAATAGATAAATACACACAGCAAAAAATACAGCAATACTACATTTGTGTCATCTATAACTTTTAGTTATAACATGATTCTTTCCATATTGCAACTTTCCCATGTATCAAGTATATTGTATCACACTCATTTAAAAAACAGTATAACGTGTTTTTCTGAGCATCCATAATGGGTGGTCTGTCAAATAAGTAATGTACATAGCTCAGTGGTTTGAGCCTTGGCCTGCTAAACCCAGGGTTGTGAGTTCAATCCTTGAGGGAGCCATTTAGGGATCTGGGGCAAAAATTGGGGGTTGGTCCTGCTTTGAGCAAGGGGCTGGGCTAGATGACCTCCTGAGGTCCCTTCCAACCCTGATATTCAATGATTTTACATATTATAATTGTCTGGATGTGTATTTACATAATGGAGCCAGCCTTGTGCTTCTAGTAGGTTTTTATTTTTGTCTTTTTTTAAAAATGTACCATTACAACACTACACATTTGAGTATTTTGGAGCGGTAAATGTTCAAAGCGGTAGCATCGCTCCAGTTCTGCAACTTCCATTAATGGACATTCCACATAGCTTCGGAATTCTGTGAGAAATGCACCAAGCAAAGAAACTGAGGCTGAGGCTGGTTGACAATTTGACCTTTATCCACCAACTGTGCTGTAGATATTACCATATATGCAGTACCTTAGTGATGCACACTTTTATAATAATAATAGTAATAATAAAAAACCTCAACTAAATTATCATCTGTTTGGCTTCATTAAATAAAAGAATTTAGTTAGCAGATTGGAGGAAAAATAATGTTCACAGTACCAACAATAACCAATGTCATAAAAGCAACATGGAATCTAAAATCTTGCTTCAGAAGACAGTTCTAAGAGTGTAGTGTGCTATTTATTTATGCAACGTAAAGGACGTTCTGTTCTCTTCATAGAAATCAAAAATTACACGTTTAAATAAGATATATGTTATAAAGGGCAGCTTTTTATAATCCACGGTATTCATAACGCAGGAGCTTATCAGTAGGTCATTGTGAAAAGTCTATCGATTTTGCCATGTTTTGCAAATATACTGTACAAAACCAAAATATTAAAAACAAAGAACAGTACTAATGCAGTATACTACAAATGACGGAAATCAATGGCAGATTTGCTGCTGATTTCAATTGTAGCAGGATCAGGTTCATTTTAGCATTGTAGAAAATGATTAAAGGCTTATTTGTGGCTTTGCCACAAGCCCTGAGCCAAGGGCAGCAGGTATGTGAACTGTTTCAGGACCAGACCATGAACAAGATTGTGACTGAGAGCCACTTTCTGATTCCTGGTTATCAACTTGCCCAATACCAGATTCAGGTTATGTCCCCTGATGCACCAGCTCAGCTGCATTGATTGGCTTGTCCACAGTGATCAGGTAGCTTGTACAGAGAAGTAAGTAGGTACTTATACTCCTTACTCCCTTGTTCCGGTACATAAAATGGTTCAGAATTGAGCTCTACAAGAGCACTAATGTCTTTGACTCAAAAAAAAAACTGCACTGACATTTTAAATGTAGACAAGCCCTAAGGAAGAGGTTTTTTAAGTATTTAGGTGGCTAAAGATGCAGGTAGGTTCCGATAGTGGCTTTTTCAAAAGATAGCATACCTTTAAATCCCTTTAAAAATCTGTCCCTTAGTCTCTCATCTGACAGATGCATTTTCTTTTAATAGTATCATGATACACAAAGCAAACACTAGAATAGTGCAAATCCTACTGCTATAACGTTGTGTGAAAGACTTACCAGTATAATTTACTGCATTTAAGTAAAATATAATATAATAAAGCCTTCTGTGTTGGAGACAGAAGCGGATTCAAATATCTGTCCTATTTCATGTTTGTTCCTTCTTGGAATAGTGCCAATGCTCATATTTGTCTTGGAAATTGTTTTGACTTCCTTTGGTCAGGAGTGGAAAAATTCAACATTTTTTGCTTTGTGGTTAGGTTTGCAAGGGGGCTGCCTGATATATAATCTGGGATCCTACATCAAAATATGGACTTTAGGAAGTAAAACACCAACTTTTTCCATTCAGTCCACTGTTTGCTGGTAGAAAAGCATTTAACCTCAAGTTATAGAATTTCTGATCTTATTGGCAACAGTCATGCAGATGAATAATCATGTGGTGCTAGAGTTTTCCATTATGCTTTTGAAGCACCTCAAGAGAAACTTACCTTTGTAAATATGAAGAGTGAAGTGAAAATGAGCTAGGTCAGGTAACAATAAAAATGACAATGTGTTGTGTATATTTTGCCTACTGCTTCTCTAAATAACAGACTTTACTATAGCAATAGATCCTCCATATGCATTGGATATATATGGTATGTGTTGTGATATTTAATTTATGAATCTGACAGGTATTTAGGACAAATTATGTATTTGGCTAACAACAAGAAATAAGCACAGTATTGATACTGCTATAATTTAGCCTGGCTGTACTCAGTATTCTGTATTCAGGAGAGACTCTCCTGTCTATGTGTGTGAGTGAGTCCATTGGAGTGAACAGGAAGTATGACATTGCATGGTGTCATTTAAAACATTTGAACTTCCTGCTGAAGCTTAACCCTTTATAGCCCAAGTATAACATAAGAACAAAAAAGAAATATAGAATTTGTTGTACTGGATCTGTTCTGCAATCATCTGCCTCTGACAGTGGCCAGCACCCCATGCTCGCAGGGTGGTGGCAGTTATGGTGAGTTTAGATATAGCATCCTTCTCATGAAATACTGCTTGGTAGGCATGCAGACAGGAAGCTTGTCTTTGTATAGTCTTGTGAAGGATCATGCAGGGGACAAATTTAATCCTGCTTCCATGCTATATTAATTAATACACTATTTCACTGTCACCCTTTGCTGCATGTAGCTGATCCATCCCTGTTTAAATTGTTAAGTTTAAAACTTATTTTTTTAAAAATATGTTCTGTATTTATTTTAGACATGGCTTCTGTAGAGTGTGGTGCTGACGGAATAATTTCAGTTGAGGAGATGGGAAGAATAATTAGCTGCAGAAAAATTATGTTAATCTTGTATTTGCTCTTTTTATTAATCTTTGCTTTTTTTCATCCTCCTGACAGTAGAAGTCCAGCTGCACACTTCATTAGCAGCTTTCCAAGTTTCTGCAGTGAACTAGCAGCCAGCTAGGAGTCTCAGACGGTACATCTATACAGGAACAAAAAATCCACAGCTCCCCCGGGTCAGTTGACTCGGACTTGCAGGGCTGAGGCTCTGGAGCTGAAAATTGCTGTGTAGATATTCAGGCTCAGGCTGGGGTTGCAGGGTCCCAGAGCTTGGTCTCCAGCCCAAGTCTGAACATCTACAAAGCAATTTTTAGCCCTGCAGCCCGAGCCCCAAGTCAGCTGACTCAGGCCAGCCCTGGCAGTCATACTGCGAGTTTTTTATCCCCATGTAGACTTACCCAAAGGGCTGAAAGCGGAGATTTACCAAGAACAAGATAGCTTTTTACAAAGTCTTATCAAACTAACAGGGCAATTGCCAGGCCAATGGCATAGCTGCTTCCTCTACTGTCATTCAGGAGATGTGGGTTAGACTGCTCCCTGGGTTGGGAGAGAATGCTTGAGGGGTAACAGGCTTAGCCCCTGGGAAAAGAGATGTTTTGCAGTGCTGAAGAGCAAGCCATCTGGCTAATGGCTGGACGTTGAAACTGGACAAATTCAGACTGGAAAGAAGGTGTGATTTTTTTAAGTGAGAATAATTAGCCCTTGGAACAGTTTACCAGGGTTATGGTGGATTCACCATCACTGTAAATTTTTAAATCAAGATTGGATGTTTGTCTGAAAGATATACTTTAACCATTATTTTGAGGAAGTTAAGTGGCCTGTGCTATACAGGAGGTCACAATCATTCATTCTGGCCTTGGAATCCATGAGCCTGTAAAGTAAAAAGTATCTTTTATGCCAGTGATGCTCAATTAGATCTACCCATGGACCCATTTGAGAATTTTATGACAAGAGGCAGGCCATTTGCGCAGAAGGCTGGCAAAAAAACAAAAACAAAAAAAACTTCAGCTGCCAATACATAAAGACCTTAATTGCAACATACGTGTTACTGTTCTATCTTCTAACAAAGTTTATAAATCAACATTATTACCTTTGTTTCTGGCAATCTCTAATGGTAGATGTGACATCGACAATCTCTGGCAAGCTTTGTGAAGAGTGATTTGTAGGAGGTCAGGAGAAGGCGCGTGCATTAGTGAAGATACTTACCTGTCAAATGATTGTGATGTTGGTTTTTTATAATGTTCCTGGTAAAAAATCCAGATTTGCAGAGGTACGTTGATTTGAACATCATTAAAAGACTAGATTCTGGCTATTCTGAAACTGGTCAACCTACTGAGTCCAGAAATTACAAAGTCTCACTTCTTTCAGTTTTGCTTTGAAGACAACTGAGCTCTGGAGCTTTACAATTTCTAATTGAAAGACATCTTCATCAACTGAATCAAGAATGTTCTTTGCATCAGAAGGGCAAGGTCCATTGGCAGAGCCAGCAAACCGTTCATGAACAAATAAAAGCAAATCCTTGGGAATTTTAAGATTCTCAAATCACATTTTAAAATTTTCAGTCAGATTGTTTAGAATTTCGTGCATTGTTTTTGTCATCAGTTGTTTGTTTCATGTGTGTGTTCTCTGCGTGCTACTGGCTCTGGCCAGATAACCTGTACAGCGGGCTCTGATTGAACTGCCCAAGAAGACCACAGACTCTGATCAGTAGCGAAAACGCTTGGCCAGGTTTATTGTCAACAAAGCATGTTCCTGGTTTCCTGGATCAATGTATGCCCATTACAATGGACTCAGCTCAGTGAACAGCGGTACTTTCTGTTCCCCTCTCAGCTGGACAAAGACAC